ATCAAAGTAGTGAAAACATGTAAATGGGCACTTCTCCAATCTGATTTATGTCATCTTTTCTAACTAAGATTATCCAGTAACAACTACAAGATTTAAAACTCTGTTATCGGTGAATTCATTTTTGTCAGCAACAACAAAAAGGAGGCTTTTTGGTTTGAATATTTCCAGAAAGTAATGTAGTTTAAAACAGCTTTTATGTATTTTAAAGAAGATTTACTACAGTAACTGTGAAGCTCACTAAAAAGAGTTTCAGGGGCAACTTAAGTATAAAAGATATTATGGTTGACCATATTTTGTTCTTCATTGGTAAACAACACATAACAATCATGACGTAAGCCACGCAAATAAGCATCGCACTAAAAAAAATTCAGGAAACCAATTGACTGGCCCAACACTGTGTAAAAGTGAAAGCACTTACTAAAACATTGTAAAGTTATTAATAACAAGAAGTTGCTTCTGGCCCTGGAAAATTCACCACCACCTAGGGTTAATTAAACCAGTCCAATTATTTAAACCTAACTACTCTGTGATGAAAATAATGTTAATACCTTTTAACACTGCTGTTGTGTCATACTTGATGATATAGTTAGATAATTGTTATTCTGCACTTAAGTCAAAACTTGAACTAATTCAAAACTTGGTTTAAACATAGTTTTATCAACAGACCGCCTTTCTTTTTGTTTCATGCTGCTCAGTAATTTAGTTCAAGGATTGTTAATTACAAAATACATGATGGCAAAAAAACGATACATGCAACAGTACATATGAAAAAAAAAATCATCATCAACAAAATGTGAAACAAAATTCAAAGATGACGCTAATTTACTAATGAACAAGTTTAATATTATTATGATTTGAAGAAACCAACACTGGCGTGTTAACCCTAGAAGTGGTGGAGAATTTACCCAATCAACAATAAACAAAGTGCTAACCACTCTTGGTCAACTATTATTTCTGAATGGAATTATTTACAGTCCAGTATAAGAATGCACTTTGTTGCTTTGTTTTTCGATTTATTGTTTTGTGAAACTCTGGGTATCTTAGTTCATTATTTGCTAGTATCATGAAGATAATGTATTCATAAAAACAAATTATTATTTAATAATTACAAAAGTGTGTCAAAACAAATTCTGAAAAAGATGGAAAAAAAATCAATTAATTCACGGTAATTTGACTGTCAAATATCCATATTATATAACTTGCCCAAATTTCCACTCTGGCACACATAGCCTGGACCTAGAAATGGATTTAAAAGTCATGTGGTACCTAGATACAACAGGCAGATGTGGTATTAAAGTTGTGGCTAGGAGTGTTACAATCACTTTTTATGTGCATTGGAAGGGTGCAGGGGATTGAGAGCCACCAGGAAATTATGGTGGCACTATCAGAGATTTTCTATGCTTTGAAGCACTGAGATCGTTTCAGATAATTTGTAGGTTGCTATGGTAACCTGTTTAGTTAAGATGACCCAACTTCTCTAATATTCAGTTATTTGTTTCACATCACAGTTGTCAGTAACATTCTACTGATTAAGAGTGGTAGTATACAACAGAGCAAAAGTGTGTGAAACTGTTACCAGCCACCTAAAAAATACTGATTAAAAATGAATTTTTGATAAACAGTTTAAATTTGGATAATATTCTGTTTTTGAAAAAGAGTTTTAAACCTCTCATTGTCCCAATATCTTAAATAAATATACCCAAGTTTGAATCATACCTATCATTGTAAGACCGCAGCAAGTATAGCGACAAGTATGGCCAATAAAACAAGCACGCAGATAATGATAAGGATTTTTTTCTGTTGACAATAATAAAAAATGCAGTTATTCAATGTTACAATCTAATGACACAGTCACAACCAAACACATGAGCTAAGCAACCCTATCCACTACTTACCTGAACTAACACTATGTAACTACAATATTATATTATTATCACAGTGTGTGCGTGAAGTTGATGAGTAACATGTCACACATTTCCTGCTGATTAGAAGCCATGTTAACTCCACCCTCCAGGTAATCAAGGGGTTTTATATCATAGTCAAACGAGAGAGCATGCTCTGATTGGTCAATCAGCTATAGTTTATTGTGACAGTAAACTCATGGAAATTTTGCATGTCGTCTAAAATATTATATAAAAGCAATAGACCACAAGTTTATGTGGTTTAGTGGCATGATAAATCATTTGGGATGTTGGAGGAACACTCAAAGAATTCATAAATCACTCTCCTGCCGCTCGTGATTTACGAATTCTTCTCATGTTCTTCCAACATCCCGCATGGTTTGTCAGCCTATAAACCATAAAAACTTGTGGTCTATTTTCAAGAGGTGACAGTAAGGAGAACATTACAATGACTCTCTATGTAGAAGAGTTGAGGGTGTATTGGTCTTTACGCAACTGCTTAGTAAAGTAGGGTGTAGATTCTGGGGCCAGTACTGGTCAAAGTTGTTTAGTACTCTCACTGGTGAGACAAATGAAATCGTTCACACAGTGTACTGCCCAGAGTAACCTGTGATGTGTAGGAACTGGGCCTGAGAATTGTATGGGTTACCATGCTAGGCACAGTATCCTGTTTGTTGTGTTCAAAATCTAGAAGTCTACTGTCAAAGTCTCTGCAGCTTTATCAAGTTTTTCCTGCGCGTATTACAAAATTATGGAATTACTGTACATTGTACAACACTCACCCGCCTTGCTTTACTTTGGTACTTGACAGCTTTTTTGGTATCGCTTTTGGCCGATTGTACAAAATCAACAGCTTGTTCAACATTGAACTCAATTCTGTCAATCATCTCTCCCTGCCAATAAAATAGTTCCTGTCTGTAAATAACTAAGCAATATTAGATAACAAAATAAATCATGAAGGTGTGTTTCAGGCAAGTTCTTGGTTGAAAGACCCCTGCAATAACCCGCAGTATGCACAGAAAGTCCTGTCTGATAGCCCAGGACTACAGGTAACTACAGTCGAACCTTCCATAAGCAACCACCCAAAATGTCAAGCCTAGGCTGTCACTTACAGGAGGTGGTCGCTTATGAGAGCTTAGCCCATATTGGGTAAAAATTGCCTCATTAGCATATGGTAATTTTAAGACATTTAAGGTCGTCCCTTTCAAGACTGATAGAGTACAGTGTACATGCATTTTTTCTTTAAATGTTTAAATGATTGTTTTATCCAATGTGAAAATACAATTTTAGGAAAAGATCATATCATCCAATTTTCACTCTATTATGTATCAAGTGGTCTCAAAATGTTTGAAAAAAATTTCAAACTTTTTTTTTTTATCATACATACATACATTTATTCCACGTCCCCAAGGGGCTTTTAAGTGAAACATGTAACAAAACAACAATAAAATACAATAAAATTAATTCTATGTGAATAAAATTTAAAATGCACTTAAAAATTCAGATCAATAGAAGCGAAAGAATTAGAAGATTTAAAGTATTCCGTATTAGATAAATTCAGTTAGCTATCCATTAAGAGTCTTTACCTCATCAAGGTCTTAAAATGAGCTAACGATTGACTTAACTTAATATTTTGAGGCAGAGCGTTCCAGAGAGATACCATATGATAGTAAAAAGTTCTTTGGCCAGTTGCAGTTTTAAATAACGGAATATTTAACAGTTGTGAGTTTCTAGTTTTGCGTGTTGATATTGATGAGCGCTTAATAAACTGATCAGATAGATACCCCAGAGCAAGGCCATTCATGCATTTAAATGCCATAATTGAATCGCGATGATACATATGTTGTTTCAC